TTTTAGAACTTATTTCAAAATAGCTATAATCTATATACATATATAATGTATAATAACTGATATGTGACTGTATTTTACAAATGCTAGTCTACTAAAACAAAACCAATACAAGTTACTTTGTACAGACCAAAGGTCAGTTTTATGTCATTTGATATAGTAACATGAGCCGCATCATTGTATCTGCTGTATTGTTAGCCAGACATGGCTGAAAGGTCAATATAATACAAATAATAAATATATATATATACGTGTATAATGTTATGAGATTTAAGCTATTTAATCTAAAAATTTATGTTTTCGTGTTATAATAAGTTTTCATTCTAGAATGAAAGAGGCATAATTTATATTTATTTCCTAATTTTTTTGATGGTGGTTACAAGATCGGCCAAATCTACCGAACCCATACAGAGATTAATTACTGAAGATAACAGATAAAATATGAAGTTTTTTCTTAAGAAACGTTTGATAACTATCTCAACATTATAAAGATTTTGCATGTGAAATTTCAAAATTTTCTGATGAATAAAAGTATTTTTTATCTTAAAATGAATATTACTTTGCATGACAGATAGGCAACATTCAAAAAGAAAAAATAGACATGAGAAAAACATTGCTTTATAAACCTTAACTCTTAATACAAAATTGATATTTTGGGTATGCAAGCATTGTATTGTTTACTGATAAACTGCTAAATTTCATTAACATTCTTTTACTATTTTAAAAGTTATAGCATGAAAACTATAACAAGCACAAAATGGTTACAAGGTCGGTCCCAGGGACTGAGCCCGTGCTGAAAGAGTTAAAGATTTCTTCAAAGATGAAGATATACTCCTTTATAGCTTTGGCAACTTTGAATACAATGTGTTGTGCAAATATCAAAATATGGAAAAATATACACACAAGCAAATCCTAACAAAGAACTTTATTATAAATGTACGACGTTTCAACAAGATTTTGTCATTCTCGGGTACAAGTAATTTACAGAAATAAATGAATCTATATTATTTTCAAAAAAGTTGATTTCTCGTTATCAAGTTCTGAGGAACATAGACATAACTATAAAATAAAACCCATGAGAAAAATGGCAATAACCGTTTTTATTTTAAAAGTCTTAAGGCTTTCTTTGCAGTTTCCCTTAAACTCATAAAATGAAAAAGGACTTATTGTAATTACTTTAATAAAGATAACAGTGCAGTGTTTTAAAACAACACATCACTGCGAATGTTTCTTCAGGCATAAAGTACATAGCACATAGTAGTAATACAGCATTAAATTTTGATTTATCCGATATATTATTTCTTTTTATCTATGCAAAAGTTATGCTTAATTTAAAAAGATGTATTAAAACAAACTGAATGAACTAGACTGTGATTTCCTGAAGTATGAATATTGATTTTAATAAAACTATTTTCAAAATGACAGTTAATATTGTCTGTATACCTGTTTTCTCTTGCAAAGATGGTTTATTGTTAGGAAGAAAAATCTTGAAGCAATGTTTTTTCACATTATGAGAGTAAACATTTTTAAAGCTTTTTATAAAAAATCATTTAATGTTTTCGATTATTTGTAAGGTATTTGTTTGTAGACAATGATTATAAAGTGGTTTTATAAAACGAAATATTAAATTATTAAAATTTTAAATAACTTCTTGAATGTTTTTATATAAAATTCTATACTTAATACTTTGCACAACTTACTTGGTGGATTATCCATTCGGGGTCTCTTAACAGGCTTCTTTTTGTCCATATGTGCAACCAATGAAGGTTTTGTTTTCCTACTATGTTCAACCTTAGCACCTTCTGCCTGGTTTTCTAGTTCTTTCTCAGCAGAAGATTTATGCAGTGACCTATATCATAAAGTAAGTAAACACAAACATACTTTATAAATATAACTTTGCTACAAAAGAATTAAATATGATACTCCAGCAATTCTTCATAACTACAGAAGTAAAACAGCATGTATATACTATATTAAATGCCATCATTTACTTATCTACTGAAAATTACCACACCTCATTTAATAATTGAAACTTACTACAATTAGTTTTAATTGTAAAACAATCTGCGAAAATTTAAAAATAATTCTGATTAATAAACAAACTGTTCTTGTTGTTTAAGACTTATAATGCAGGTAAATTAATATGTAGAATTCTACACGGAATTTTCTCTCCTAAGAGGGCCAAAAGCTCACAAATAAAAGTATTTTAATGTAGATAATAGCAGTGTTTCAAAACAAAAAGACACATACTACAAAATCTGTAAAAATAAATGACACAGTCAATGAATACTTTCTGCTAAAAATTAGGTTTATCATGGCAGCACTATTAATTCTATAGCTTACCATTACATATATCTAATGAACCTATTACCCATAACTATAAATGTATATTTTGCTTAAATATATGTACTATCATAACTGGCGTTATTTGTTTAAAGCTATGAAATAGTAATGAGAATTGAAAAGTAAAAACTGATACAAGGGTTTTGAACTTAATCTAATAATTCATTTTGTCTTAAGAACAGTGAGTGTGTTATCATAGCACATTGAAAAGTAAAAACTGATATGAGGGGTTTTGAACTTAATCTTATATTTACATTTAATCTTACATTTTATCTTAAGAACAGTGAAGTGTGTTATTATAGCACATTTATTATGTTATTAATACATATGTTATTTAAACAAGTAGAGATTAGATTCTGCTGACAAATTTAGACATTAATATGTTTTCAACAGATGATATTAGACACAATTCAATTTCTTTGTCAATGCTCTAACCATATGGCAAAATTCAAAACCAAATTTTTAAATTAATCTAATGTATTTAAGCAATTTGACAAGTTTTTTAATGGAAAACTAAAATTATATAACATATGGTTCATACATTTCTTTATTTTTATCTGAGTATGTATAGAACAAACATTGTTGACCTAGCTAACCCCTACTTCTCAGCTTTTCAGTTTACTGTTTAAAGCATATTCTGGAACTTCATGTCATGCACTCATGCCAATTCCTATACCTTTCTAGTTGTATTTGCTTGTGAAATTATTAGACTTAGTTGACTTAATTGATTAGTGCCAGGTAAGCTAATCAATTACCTGAAATTCTGATTAAATTAGTGTCTGCAATTATTACTGTTTTCAAAATTCTGATTATATCAGTCATGAAAATTATCAATTAATTAAAATTATGGTTTCCTTTTATTAGTATTTTTGATTATTCCAATTATCCAAGTAATCAAAATAAATATTACTATCACATTTGTTTGTTGTTAAGCACAAAATTCCATAATGGGCTATCTTGACTGTGCCCAATTTTAGCCTTATAATTTTTTTTTCACTGCAAATTTGTTCAGCTTTGGTGATTCAAGGGTCTTGGGGTTTGATTCACATTGTCATCAAAATTGCTTGCCCTGTCACTGTTATGGCATAGCTAATAATGCTAACTGCCACTAATTTCAAACTGCTGACTAGACGGCAGCCAATTGGCTGGCAGCACCAACCACCGATTTTTTTTTTTAATTATTCAAACTGATGACTAGAGAGAATGCAACTGTGTGGCACCAGCCACTGCCAACTTTTTTTGGTATTTGAGTTAATGACTAGAGGAAAGGCAACTGTGTGGCAGCACCTAGTGCAAACTTTCTTTTCTTTTTGAACAACTGACTAGAGGAAAGGCAACTGTGTGGCAGGACCTAGTGCAAACTTTCTTTTCTTTTTGAACAACTGACTGGAGGAAAGGCAACTGTGTGGCAGGACCTAGTGCAAACTTTCTTTTCTTTTTGAACAACTGACTGGAGGGAAGGCAACTGTGTGGCAGCATCCATCACCAACTTTTCTTTTGAATTGTACATACCTTGGTTTGAGTATCACTGTACTAAATCAATCAATCAAATGTCACTGATTAATGTGGCTATTGATTAGCATATTCCATTAACTGCCAAGCTCTATAATTTAGTTAAGTAATTTGTGCCTGTGCCTCTGAATATATTAATACACTAGTATTATTATTTTCAAACAATAGTTTTTACAAGAATACCCGAGTTAAAAACATTCCTACTTTGAATTACTAAATTTATGATTTTTATCAATACTTTATTAAATTATTTTTGACACCAAATGCCACAAACAGACCCAATACAAAACCCATAAAAATATCTTCTGTCAAAACTGAAGTTTATCACTACACCACAAATAAATCTGAATAACTATAACATATTTGCAATTAAATAAACATTTTAGACTACCCACTTAATTGCTTGTGTAATCTAAATTTTTTTAAATAATTCAACAGAAGGAGAAACAAAGTGAAAAATGATAAACATTTCAGATTATTTTGATATAATTATTCCTAGAACATTTCTGTTGTAAAACTTCGGGACCTATTGTGTTTACTTGCTAATTTTTATTAATTGTCAAGAAAACAACTTGAGCACAGTTAATAAACCTTTCTCCAATAGAGTAAGTTAATTATAATTCAAAAGTAGTGAACACTTACTGCAGCAGAGGTCAGGCTAGAGCAGCCTGCCTCTTGTTTTTTGCACAGTAGAAAAGACAACTCAAGAACCACCATACAGGGAAAGCATGTTCCACAAATGTACTTGTTTTGCCAAGCTATTCTGAAAGCAAACAAAAACGTTTTTTTTTATGTAATAACCTTATGTGAGATTATGTGGTTAAATTAACCACTAACAATCTTGCCACAACCTTTATTCCTAATTCATTCATCAAAAACGTTCTGACAAAATACTACAGCTCTATTTTGCCTGCTAATGGTAATTCAAGATACAGTATGAAGTTTTAAAAAATGAGGTAAAATGTTCAGATTTGTCTTTTGATAGAGTTTATCTAGAATACTACTCCAAGTATTAACTGTATACAGACATTTCTTCATAATAGTTAAGAAAATCAAATCGTATATATAATTGCAATAGTAATGAAATAGCTGAATCTTGTCCGTTCAGGTTAGGCTTTATATGATCTAACAGTATACTTTGTTATCTTTAATCGTTGTTCATTTTGACTTGTACTTGAAATGTGTTACATGCTATTGTAACATGGTGTTTGATGCTGGATGTAATCTCAAATTTGGACATAGTGTACATTTATATTCTCTTATGCAAGTGGAATGACATCTAATAATAAACTCCATATATTCCATTATTTAATTTCTGTAGTGCATATTAGTGTATAGAAGGCATATTAATACTAGAAATAAATAACCTTATAACACCAAAATGTTGTTTTTATTTAATTAAACACTCAATGTTTCATTTTACAGCTTCTTCAGGAGCATTCATTAAAACACAAACTGAAACTTACAGTACAAAGCTTCAAATGGTTTAAATAATGAAGCTTTATACTGTTATTTCCAGTTTGTGTTCTAGAATACATTTTAGTTATAGTTGTGAATAAATATGTTCAATTATTTTGTTAATTAGATTTCAATTATATATTCTCTAGTTTACTGTAATGCTTGGGTAATTACCTATTACAGAAAATTTATTTATGGAATAGTAGGGTTAGTAACTTTATTGTCAAGTTCATCTAATACACACTGATCACTAATGAAGCTAAGAAATTCTCTGATTCTTGTTACATCTTTATAAAATATTTTATAACTACTAGCAATTCTGCAAGATCCCAATCCATGGCTGTAGCTAGAATGAAAATTTACTTGAGATCCAGATGTATGTGGATGACAGCTGGATAAACATAACAGAGTACAGTGTACAATTAAATAGTACATTATTATATTTAATTTGAAATCTTTACCGAGGTATGAACCTCTGTGACCTCATAATAGCTATGGCCATGTTCTAAATTACGTTCATATAAAAAAAACTTGTTTACTAGACTGTTATAATGTGTGTACAACCCTGTAAAAGTTGACTCATGAAAGCTGCAATGTTTAAACTGTTATCATTATTATATAACATTTTATCTAAAAAAGATAACCTTGATTATAATTTTCCTACATGAGCAAATTCAAAATTTTTTTTATCTTTTGAGATTTCAAAAATATCTTCACCTTTCATAAAATAATAATAAGAAAGATTATTTTTCCAAATAATTTTATTAATGAAAAATATAAGTATCAATTTTGTGATACAGAACCACCTAGGAGTGTCCTTGGGCATCATCTCACAGGGCTCATGCCCCAGATTTATCTCACAACTTCCCAAATCCATCTTAACATAAACTAGAATATATGGCATTGCAATTACATTTTAATTATTTTGAGTAGTAGCTAGCAAAGCTCCTGAATCCACTTATTTGTAGTGTCATACGTTGAAATATAAACTGAATTTTTGAATTTCCTTTCTGAAAACACACCTTTTCAGAATATTTCAGGACTCTGAAATTCTGTGAAATCTTATTAATAACATTATGTTGCTATAGTTAAGAACAGCACATCAAAGTATAAATAACCTTAAGGAATTACAATGGGCCTCTAAAATTTGGCAACATTCTGGATGTTAGAAATTTATCATCATCAATGTAATGTCATCTTGCAACAACTCTTCAGCTAAGATATATTTTAGTATATCTTTTTATGCTTTTATGCAGTCAATAAACTATTTCACTAATACAAGTTCCTTCACACAATGTATCTACACATAAAACTACATTTTTCTTTCAATATGTAACCATTTAGAATTATCTATATCATTAGAAATATTCCTACCCCCTTTAAAGATGGAAATTACTAAGTTTAATATATTTATAAGTAATGAGCTCCAGTAACCCATTTTAAATAGAATACAAGCAAAACAAAGAATCTGAAATAAAACTTTAGTATAGCTTATCAAACAAACTGTTTCACTAAACACAAGTTATTAAATCATATACTCCCCAAGATTATAAAAAAACTTTCCATTTCAATGAACTAGCTAGCAGAAATAAAATCTTCTGTCTTATGAAGTATTTCTAGCTTGCTTTATTAGTTTGTAGTTAAGCAGAAAGCTACCCATTGGGCTATCTGTGCTATGCCCACCACACTTATCAAAACCTGTTTTTTTAGCATCGTAATCCTTCAGAGTTACAGCTGTGCAAATGGGAAGCTTCTATATTGCCAAGAAATTAGAAATACCTTTGGATTTTGTGCTGGAGATAGACCCAATTTAACAGGTAGTACATCATATGTCAGGGTACTGAAGATAATAACAAGAAATTAATTTTCCAGACGGTTATCTTTTCTATATTATAATAACAATATTTTTGTTTGATATACTTTAAATTGTATTAATGGGTATATCAAGAATACAACCACATTAACTAAATACACCTTTGTCAAGAGCAGTTCACATCATCACTATGTTTTACAATATACTGTTACACCCTTAGTATTTTTAGTTTTGTCCCACCCAGGTTTGCTGCTGAGCTCATAGTAAAAACTGAATGATCTATGTAGAAATCTAGAAATCGTTTGTTGCTATGCCTTCTGTTACAACTACTACAGTGATGCACACTGTAAGCTTTCAACAATAACCACACCCTGTATACGAACCCAACTTTTCCCCAACATTCAACAACAGCTTCCATTTTCATTTAAAAGTCTGAGGAAATCTCTATACTATGGTTTCTCAAGATGATTTTCTTGTGTCTCAACTAATGAATTTTTTCTACTTATTCATCTAATCAAGTATTTGAACAAAATGAAGGAATTTACAGTGGTATTTATTTTAACAGTATGTTAACTTCTTATTTATTCTTTACTGTGGGTCTATTAATTATACATTTTTGACCACATCTTAATACATTTATTTCTGAATATAAAAATGCCACAAATGATATTCTGAAGTAGCAAACTGATAATCTAGTAAAATAATCATGTTTTTTGAAACAAAAATAAATACTTCAAAACTTTTCATACAAGTAGCTACTATTTTTAACTCATAGAGTAAGTAAGTGTTACAGACAATGTACACACAGAAAAGATTAATCAAAATTTAACATTACTCAATTTAAGTCAAAATGAATATGTAAATGTTTGAAAAACTAAACAATAATTCTGTACACTTCGATACTAGACTTATTACAACATCACAATAAATACTCTTGCATTCTCCTTGAACATCTAGGGTATATATTGTTTTGTCTGGATGTGCGACTTTATAATTCAAAATAGCAATAAAAAATTATTCTAAAATTTTTGGGATGGAAAAAGATCAGAAACTACAATTTTAGAATAAAATATTTTATTGCTAGTTTCTGGACTTTTTTTTTTATGATTAACATCACAGGTGGCGCTATCTATTGATTGATGTGTTTTTAGCAATGTTCAACAATCTGTATCATTGCACATATTTAGGACCAACTGACCTATCGTGAATCACTTGCGGCTCTAGGTTGAAAGTAGGTACACTATGATTTATGAGTTACAGCTGACGGAAAAAAAGAAATAAAAACGAGGACGGAACTCATCCCTACACAGATATCGCTTCCGCGCTGTCTGATAAACTTTGTACACGTTTTGTGACAGCAACTACTACTGCCCCCTCAAACGCAATAAAATACTGACATTGTAGACTTTACAACTATCATAAAACAATTTTTTTGAGTTGGTGGTCAAGTATTTCATAAAGAGAAAAACGATCTAATTGTTTTTGTCTATAGGAAATTTTATAGACGTACGAATTTGACATAGCAGTGTTTTGGTGTCAGTACAACCTTTTCATGTTGCCTTGATAAGAGTACGCATTATATAAAGCAGATTTTTTGGCAAAATATAGCATTGAAAACTGTTTTTTTTGTTATGTTTTTAAAGTGGGCACTATAATGTACCAAATAGACAACACATTATAGTAGCATTTTCAAAGATCAAATATTAATATGATTCACGAGCACAACTCGAACTTTGCAATGCTTTTTTCGACGCTTATGACTATTACAGGTTTGGTTTGTTTTGAATTTCGCCCAAAGCTACACGAAGTCTATCTATGCTAGCCGTCCCCAATTTAACAGTGATAGACTAGAGGGAAGGCAGCTAGTCAACACCACCCACCGTCAACTCTTGGGCTATTCTTTTACCAACGAATAATGGGATCGACCGAATCATCATTTGGAAATATGACTGACATATAACACTAAAATATAACAAAAAGGAAACGAAATAGAAAACATATAGTATAATAACGAAAAAAAACCTAATCTACAAGTTTATCACAGTATTAAAGTCAGTATAAATATAGAATCACGTTTTAAGGATATTCTCATAATTAAATAGAATCTTTGGAATTTAAACAACTATCGTACTTCCGTGGAACTAAACTTTTTCATTTGTATACATCTTTTATGAATATTATAAAATTAATTGTTCCTGATTAAATTAAAACTGTGAATAATTGGATAGATGTGGAGCTCGGGAGTTACGTAACTATTTTGGAACTTAAAGGGAATTAAATGTGTAAGTTTATGTCCTGTGTTAATCGATTAGTAACAGTAAAACTGTCGGAAAACCTTCGTAATATAATAGCGATTCTGGCAGTGATAAGGTTAATAATTATTAACTAAAATCTCACTTCAGCTTAGTTGAAAGTTACTGCAGGAAGGTATTCTAGAATGACAGTCTTTCCCAGGGGAATATACTATAGTCATAAGGCAAGCTAAACCCTTA